AGATTGCAAACAATCCTGTAAGCATTTGATCATTTTCTTTATTAAACTCTGGCTACAGTATTTTTGTACAAACCAACTGTTCATCCTGTCCTTTAGTTGCCCTCATCTTTAGGCCTGAATGCAGCAGATACCGTGAAACTGGTGGGGGAAACCACTCAAAACGCTTTACCGGTGATTGAGGAGGTTAGTGAAACGGCATCGGCCAGAAATCCATATTCATATTCTATAAATAAATGGCTATTTTGTTCATGTATATTTTATCAATCTAAATTCCTGACCTTTTCCCTGTTGTCTTCAGATGGCGAGGTTGCAGAGCTCCATGGTCTTTCAGGCTGCCGGTTCATTGAATTTCCAAGAAGACATGATTGGCAGTATCAATATGCTACTGTGTGGAAAGCAGCCTGACTTCAACTCCACCAATATGACCCTCAGCTTACGCTCACCTGGACAAATGGATAACAACAAGTCGATCTCCATTATGGGCAACAGTTCCGGTAAGTGCTGCAGAAAACTCATTTTTTGGAGCAAAGCAGTCGCACAGTACTCATGTCTCAGTAATTTAACCACTGCGTGTGCCAGTGGAAGCCAGGAAATAGACAGGGTTCATTTTTTTTGTTATTTCTGAAAGCACCAGTGTACAACACAGTATCACAGGACATGATGGAAATATGTTTGGTAAATATGGAGCCATTCGGAAATTGTAAGTCTTTATTTATTCCTTTTCCGTAAAAACCCTATCAGGGTTGGAGCTGCTGAACACACAGGAAAGCATTTAAAACAGATTTAGTGCAATAAATAAATTGGTTCTTTTTCCTTCTGCATTTTGAATATTTTTTCTGTTGTAGAAGTTTGCATGTAGAAGAGATCCAATAACCCACTTTTTCATAAATTAGTGGTCAATGGTACAGTACAGCCAACTCTGCAACATGCAAAGGTTTGTGAGTATGACTACATCCAGGAACAGGCACCTGTGGCAAAGTGGACACCCATGCCATAGTTTGAGAGTAGCTTTGATTAGGATTACATTATCCACAGCTCTGACAGGGGCTGGCATCAATCCCAGCCAATCAAATCAGCTCCTCTCATTCCATTTAAAAGCTGTGCTCTCTCCACCCTGATTTCCTAATGGACAGGAGACTCCAGAGCAGCTCATCCCAAATGGAAACTGATGTTGTCTGAGTGGGGCAGAGTCGCCAGGCACACAAATGTATGGCAAAGGACAGATGCCTCTACAACACATTTCTGATGTTTTAAGTGGAGTTTTGTGCTGTTGAGAAAGGAATCCAATCATGTTAGCCATATCGCCAGCCATTTCCTCCATTGCTATACTGGTTTAACTGGCTTAAGTATGCTTCCAGTGGTTGAAATGAGGACTGATGTTCACTGAAGAACAGTTTTTTCTCTGCTGCATCTTTATTTCTACAGTAGGAAATGCTACTGATGCCCAAAAAGTTTTCTTTTTGGGTATCAGTAGATTCACCCATATGATATTGTGTGGTATGGCATATGTTTAAATTAAGGTTAAAACCCTTTTATTAAATGTAGCTTTGTCATCACTGCCCATAATACAAATTAAACAATGGCTAATAATTTTTGTTTTCCCGTTGGGTGGTGGCCAAGATGAAACACAAGTTCTTCCTCAACAACAATACCAACAAATTGTTATAGCAGTCTTTTAAATTCAAGTTTGACATAGGCCAAAACTACAAACATGTCTATGTATATGGAAATCAAACAGCAACATAATCTGTCCAAATACAAACAAATTTGTGTAGAATAACTACAATTCCTAATTTTCCAAAATCAGGAGACAACATGGTCAAAATAAAAAAAAGGCTGAAAGAAAAGAAAATATATCCATC